GAAATTGACCAATCACAGTCGAATGTGAGAAGAATAATCGACTGTGATTGGTCAATTTCTTACTCTTACTTCTTACTCCGTGTATTGTAGACGACGCCCGATGTAATCAGTTTCTGATAGGTTAATATCTAATTCCTGTTCCTCTATTGTGCTCAGGCCCTTACTTGTTATTCCATGTATTGTAGACGGGCCTTCAAACGTCTATCAGTCTAGATTTGCAGACAATGGCGGTTATGGCAAGATAAAATAAACCGGGCTAATCGTGATCTGTCAGTCGCTTGTACAATTATTCATAATTGTATTGTCGGTGACACGTGGTGCAACCCATTAGTCTGCATCCGTCATGGGAAGTGCGGACACCACGGTGAAGTTGCAAAATGATAATCACGAGATCGACGAGTATGGAATTAACCTAAAGATTTTACCCTGCAACAATCAGGTGAAAGAGTTGCAAACCATTTTAAGGGATAAGTAAGTATCTTTGCATTAAATCGTAGTACAAATATTTTATGTTGTGATAAATAGATACATTTTATCTATTTAATTTTTCCTTGAATCTCTAATTTATATAATTTCAAAATTACAAAAATTATCATTCAAAAGAATTGTAAATATTTATCAAATTATTCGTTTGTTTGCCAGTATGTATAGACATATATATATATATATATACATATATGTATATATATGTAATGTATTTATAGAATATTATAAAATATTAAATTTTTGTGTAGATTGATTATTGAAAATAACTAGGAGCTGTTCATTGATAGATCTTATTTTATAGGAATACTACCAGAAGTGATTTCAAATTCTACGCTGATCGTTTGGTAAGATATGTTTGATCTTATAATATCGCTTATACTGGCTAAATTTAAAAGATACAACGGATAAGAGAATGCTCAGTAATTTTGTCTGTAATTGGAGTAGACCTTTAAATTCATATGATAAATTTAAAAGAATATATCAACAGCAGCAACCATTCATTTGAACATTTTGTTTTCTAAATATAGCCTTGTTAAATGTAAACTGTGAATTTTTGTTTGAATTATGATACGATTCCATATTATCATACTAAAAGTTGTTCTCTGAACTTTGTATAGTTTACTAATTATCTATTTAACCCTTACTGTACAAGGTCGGGTCACTAGTGACCAAGCGATTCCTGTTTGTGTAAGTTTTGAGTCTTTCGATAATTATAAAAAAAATTATACTACATTTTATTATTTTCCAAAATGGAGTTTCAATGTTTGTTCTAGAAAATTGAAAGTAATTTGGTGAATTTTTAGAGATTTTTTAACCATTCTGAATAGGTGAAAAAAATGAATGGATTTTAATTACTGTTTAAATGGATGAGGCACAACTAAAATCCTACCTTGTATTGTAAGGGTTAATATAAATATTTAAAAATATCTAATATGATTGTTAAAAGTTACTTTCTAGTTTTTATTTATTATGTAAAGAAATGAAGTTGTTATGATTTTCGCTGAATTATTTTAGATCAGATTAGTTATTGAAGAGAGTTTGAATCAGTTGCCTTTTACGAAATGTGTGGTTACGACTCCAACTGGTGCCAAATACAAAGGTTTAAAATATCAGAAAGGAAATTGTGGTGTATCTATTGTAAGAAGTGGAGAGGCTATGGAACAGGTACAATCTCAATTAATCCTAAGTGTATCAAGATGGTAGTATCTTTGTGCTAACTTATGGAACAATATCTTTCAGGGTCTAAGAGATTGTTGTCGTAGTATCAGAATTGGTAAAATATTAGTAGAAAGTGATATGGACACGCACGAAGCTAGAGTAGTTTATGCTAAATTCCCAGATGATATATCTGAGAGAAAAGTCTTGTTGATGTATCCAATAATGAGTAAGTACTGGAGAATATTCTAATTTTGAGAGTGTATTGGCATTAAGTTGAAAAATAATTTTAATAAAATAATTGTAATAAAATAATTATAATAAAAATAATTGTAATAAATTTTATATTTATTACACATATATAGGTACAGGAAATACTGTCATAAAAGCCATAGCTGTACTAAAAGAACATAATGTACTTGAAGAAAACATTATCCTGTCAAATTTATTTTGTACACCGATTGCAGCCAAATCTTTAGTCACTGCCTTTCCTAAGGTGATTTTAATTATTCATATTTGCATTTGTATAAATCAGTAAAAATTTATTAAGTTATGTTTATCTGTGATAATATATAATGTTTATAATATATTTATCTTGTAAGTAAAATTTTGTTTTTTTTTTATAGATGAAGATCTTAACGTCAGAAATCCATACTGTTGCACCAAATCATTTTGGACAAAAATACTTTGGTACGGATTAATGTTTTCATTACTGTATAATATGCCAAGACACAAACTTAATGCATAATTAAGCCGAGAGAAAATCAGTTAAGAATGATTACATGCTAAAGATAAGCTAATTAATAATTAAAAATTATTTTTTATGACATTTAATAGTAGTCTATAACAATGAAAAAAAATGTAATGTCGAATGTTTGTTTTTACATTCTCTAAATTTTTACATCTCTCTAAATTTTAATATTTTGAATACTTTTATTTCGATATTTTATTCATACTTTACTTCATATTTTAGATATTAAAATATGATTTTTTTTCGATATGACTTAATTTTTTAAATATTAAAATAAGTAACTAATTCTTTATCCATTTTGTATTTAAAAAAATTAAATATTTTATTTTTTATTATTTTTTTATATTTTGATTTAGAATAGTTAATCTATGATTGTGAGATTATATTATATATTAGTGATGCAATATTTGATAATTTAACGATTTATAAATACATGATAAAAACTTTATATAAATTTATCCTATAATATAAGTATACTGAAAAATATACAAATAATCATGAATTCTTTAAATTGTAAAAAAATTTTATTTTGAAGTTTAAATCTACTAGCTGTAAGCATTCTCTTGGTTTTCTCGATGTGTAATAAGACTGTAAGTAATATACTTATTTTAAATGTACTTGGAATCGTTTCAATACTGATGAAATAATTGATATTTTTACAATGACATCTCTTTTTAACAAGTTTTAGAGATTAGATGAGATAACAATTTTTCATCAAAATTTTTAATTCTCTTATGTTTGTAATAGGTATTGCATTATCAGTTTTATGTATGCTACTTAATATGAAGTATTTGCATAAAATATCTTGCATTAAGATAAGCTAAGTGGTAAAAATATATCATATGCGAAATTACCAGTTCAGGTATTACATATTACATACGTAACACACATCTCTTAAATACAGATTTGTAGAATTACCGTCCCAGAGAAAAGCAAACAATTTGATAGACAAATAATTAAGAGCTTGACATTACAAACAATCATTTCTAAAATTGTTTTATTTTCTTATTTCGTAAAAAAATTACTGAATTCAAAAAGACGAAAATCTCTTAACTGACATTAAATTTCTAAGTTTATTAAAGTTTAGTAATGTCAGGTTTTCTGTGTACACGTACAGAATATAATATGTGTACAATATATTTATATTACATATTATTAAACAAGAATTATAAGGAATATAAGTAATTATATGTGCTAATTAAAAAAAATATATAAAATATTTTAATATTAAAGTATGCTTTTATTTTTTTATTTAGATCTGGTTTATAAATATATCATATTATATCTGTATGCGATTATATTCTGAACATATAAATTTTGTATGAATTAAGATTAATATACATTGATGAATCTTGAGTCAATATAAAGCATAACTTCCTTTTAACAGTATATGCATAATGAAGTATTCATTTACAGTATGTAGTTAAGTTAAAATAATATCAAATTATTCAACAATTTAACTTAAGCATTGTCGAAAAGAAAGAATACCTCATTATATGTTATACGATCGTAAAATAATACATTATACATAATTATTTTTGTTACATATAGCTTGTTTACAGATATGTGAGAAATCGATCTATTTTATATCGCATAATATAAGTAAGCTAATAAGCATAATTTGTTCTATTAGAATGTATAATAGTCTTAAACATATAATATTGCCATGATTTTACAATTACACTTATGCATGTGTTCAAATTTATGTATTTATGAAAACAACATAATACTTAATGAAGAAGCTTATAACTCAAAACTTTTAATTTTTGAAGATCCGGTAACTTCATTCTTGACTGTTGCATTTTATACGTAATTTTAATAGAATATTGTGTTGTGTTTGTATACATTATGTATTAATACGATTATATACGTAGTATACGTATATTTCTTAATACGTTTTAGTCGAAATAGGTTCAAATTTTGTACACAATAAGTTCACAGAGACAAAAAATATACTATATATTTTACTTAATATAAAGAGAATTAAATATTACAATGCACTGCATAATTTATTTACCTACTTAATAGTGTACAAATATATTGATGCATTCAAAGAGATAGTCATAATTATTCGTTAATGTCAGTTAAGAGCAAAGAATGGTATATGTACAACAGGGGTATACATTGGGAATTATTTTATGTACAACATATACACTCGGTACATAAAGTCAAAATGCAATTTGACTCAATAATTGAAAATTAGAAAGAAGCATCATGTATAACTATATAAATCTTTGCTTCAGTAAAGATAGAATTATTTATTACATATATATTTACTTACATGTCCATTGAATGAGCTATGCAGCTTTTACATGTAGCAAGTTTCAAATAGAAGTATGAAAACAATATTTTGTGTAATTTTCCAATAGGTAATTACTAATTATTATGCATTTGATTAAACTATTAAAAGGTATAACATTTTAAGAAACGTCTTAAAGAAAATTCAGTAAAAAATGCTTAAATTCGTTCTTAAAAATCTTGATTACAGCATTTTTATTAAACTATTTGCCTTATAACGTGCCTATGAAAATTCTCTGTTTCTGCAAAAACTCGTACAATTTTGTGAACTTATCATTAAATATTTCCACACATAAAATCATATTGTCCTCGATCTTTTCTTAACTCTTATATATATATATATATATATATACGATTATTTAAAGATTTATTTACATTGATAATTGTTTAACATCTTTGCACCAGCAACAAGTTTGTTTAATGCAAATTGTATGCGTAATATTGATAAATACAGATATGTGCACAATGATTATTAATTAAATAATATAACAAATAGCATTAGTAAAATAAATGTAACTCTGAAACTGGACTATGTTTTATTTTTATGTATTTTTTTATATTTTAATATACATTGAAAAGAGTTAAAATATTATCATTATTATAACGGAACATAATTATTTATTGTATTAATGATTCTTCATTAATACACTTAATTAATAAATGCTAATTTTTTAATTTATTAAATTAATTTGCTATACTCATATTCTCTAAACTTTCTATTCATAATTAAAAAATTTGTTTCACGTTGTCAGTAATGAAATTTTTCGCTGAAAAGAGAGAAAAAGAGCAACTTTAGATTTGTTTAAAAAAAATGTATTTGTAAAAATTTGTTTAATCTAAAATATCTCATTTTGTTTTTAATTATTACAATTTCGATATATAATTAATGTTACTGAGAATAACATAAATATACTTTATATACTTTATTAATGATAAAAATGTAATTTGAAGATTTTTAACAAATGTTACTTTTTGAAGTTTCTTCATAGGTTTTTTTTGATATAAATAAAAATACTTTTATGTATACTTATTCCACAAACGTAATTATAAAAATATTGATAATTATTGGTTTCAGGCTGTACTCGTGTTGTAATGGAGACACCAAATATACAAGAGAAAGATAATTGAGGACATAATTAGATCTCAATTGAACCTATGAAATAGCAAGTTTAATTGTCCATATTACACTGAACGTTATAACAACTTGTGTAGATCAATCAGATTATGCACTATTTTTAACTTGAGAAAGGGTAAAGAATATTTTTAGATATTATATATCAAAAAGTATATATTTTACGCATAGCTAGTTTTTATATCGCTTTTGAAAGAGATCAGCATATATGCTGTGCTTCAGACTTTTTTTTATCATAGAATTATATTCACATTTATAAATTGTATACATATATGTATATATACTTACCTTATTTAATGATAGAATACGGAATTATAAAATATATCAATTTCCCAAAATATTATTATGTTATAAATCATATAATAATTATCATTTGGTGAAAAATGTTAGAAATAAATTTTTTTAAAGGATATATAAACAGAATCTTAAACTTGAATCATTGTATTTATTAGTAAATTCTTGTATGCATGTAACAATGATCACTATTGATCTATATATATATGTATATATGCCTATACATATATATACACATTTGTGTGTATAATATATATATATATATGATGAATGTTTTTGTAAATATGATTATATTTAATGATTATATCTTTAATATAGTATGTTAAAATTTATTTTAACATTAAAATTCAATCTTTATTGTTACCATCTCCTCCTCCTCATCCTTGTAATAAGAAAGACATGTTAACATGAATAAAACTTTGCCATAGCTCTCTTTGATTGTAGCAGTAAATTATTATATGTGCGATATTAATAATAGATTTAATGTATCGTGTTGAAGAATAGAATTATAATAGCAAAAATAACTTTTTATTTTATTTATTTATTTATAACAAAGCAACTTGTAGCAAATACTGGGTAAAGCTTAATTTTTTATGGCGGAAGTATTGTTTAAACGATGGACAAGCAATAAAAGATTTATGCAAGATATTAATCTTGCTGAGCACACATATAGGAAGGAAATGTCATGATTAAAAATAAGAGAAACAATAATATATCATATAGGCCTTTTCACCGATACAACTGCCACTATATAACTATTTAGAATACACGAATTTGAATAATATCAGACTTGATTCAAAAACTTCTTTTTTAAATTCATTGCACATTTTGTGTGTTGTAAAAATTTTTTATATATACGTTATTTTATTATATATATTCATGTGTTGTTTCAATAGTAGCAGTTGTAAAAAATTCTCACTTTTGCTTTAAAATTTTATATTATTATAATATAATTTATAAGCATTGCGAACCAATTTTTCTGTTTTCAAAATAGGATTTTGAAAGAACTCAATGGTTCGATTTTAGATGCAAAGATTCTAATGATCGAATAGACTGTTGAATAAGCATGAGTCATATACACACATATCAATGAAATCATATCACGCTATTATGAGTCATACGCATCAGCATAATTTTGTTATGAGTAGAAAATGGAAGAATTTATACCATAAAAAAGATATTTATAATTCAGTTATAAAAATTTAAAAATCTCTTTTCTTTTGTTTTGTTTTTTCGAATACTATTTCTAACATATGTAATATATAATTAAGCTACAGAAATCAATGACTTCTCAAAGCATATTTGGAAAGACTGATTATCTTAACGCAAAAAATGAAATATCAAAAATTTTTATTACAAGCCAAACCTATCTTTAATACTGCTGTATTTGATAAAAAATATAATATAAATATCAAAATTTTTTCTCACGTATGTAACAAATTAATTTTATCTAAAAATTAAAAAATTCAATTATAATACATATTTATCTATATATCTGCCCTCATATATCTCAAATGATATTGTGTGTATGTATGTATTATATACTTCAGTTCAGATGTGCTATAATGTGTCAGGTATGGTGCAGTGCGAAACAATGCAAAAATAATAAACAAACGTGAGGATGTAAATATAAAGATAGCGATATGAAGGAATTGTCTCATATCACTTAATCAGACCTGTTGCAAAACATTTGGTGAAGACGCGTTTGATCTAAAAATACAAAGTATATTCTATAAAAGAATGTTCCATGCGTCATACTGATCAACAGACTTTCTGCAAAGCAGAATATTATCTTGGCAGTACCTTCATTCAGCCTTAGTAATGTAATAAACGTAGCTTTGCAAAATACGTTTGTGGGTGGAAAAGGAAAGATGTCATTGTGTGGAATATCCCAACTTTACATGGGTTTATCTCGTATCTATTCCTCTTTCTCTTGGTCGTCGGACTTCTCTTCATTTTTATCACCACTATCTTCAATGTGTTCACCTTCATCGCTAGCGATAACTTTTGCCGCGCTATCTACTTCGATTGGTTTAGAATCTTCTAAAACTTTAGTCTCACTTTCTAAGGTTGTCCTTTCTGGTAAACTAGAGCATAATCATAAACTAATTATTCAATATTTTTAATCAAAGTATAATGTATATATATTTTCAATATATTTCCATATTAAATCGTTTATTATAATAATTACCTATCGGAAAGTAGTACATCTGCTTCTTTGTCTGCGGAAGGCTGAAAAAAAATAAATTGCAACTGTAAAAATAGATAAACAAAATGTATATAAACTACAATATAAATTTAGTAAAATTATAAGACTAGTAAACAAAAATAAGTAAAAATTTAAATAATTTTATATATATATAGATAAAAGGCTCGTTATAAAATAATGAAATGTACAAGTTATTAATTTGTATCATCATATGTTAGTTTCTTTGGAAAGATCTATAAACAATAATATAAATTTGTAATAACAATTTGTCATATGTCGTACACGTGTCATACAATAAGCATGACAGTAATTTCTATTTTGGCGGGTCGGAATTCTTTCTCATAAAGAAGCGGTATATACATATAAATATATACATATAAATATATGATTTGGAAGCCTGTGACAAAGCTTTTGTTAAGTTTCAATTTCGAAATAAAAGAACAATATTAAACCATGTCTCCACTGAAGCAACAATAAAAAACTTTTTATTATTTGCTAAATGTTTCTGAATTATCTAACATATGTCAACTTGTAGAAACGTCTTGTCTTCATTGAAGCGACATAATCACAGAAACATTTGGATTTTCTTCCAAGTCTTATTCGTTTCTAGCAACTAATTGTCCACACTTAAGAAACAAAGCAGTTTATTGTGTGTAATGTGAAAAACAGCTCAAGATTTCTTTCTTGTAGCTGCAACATATATCTCATGCTCAATAGTATAAAAAGAAAAATATGAAAAATGTGAGTACGATCAAGTCTGATTTTTTTAAAGAATGAATTTTTTTTGTTCTTTGTGGGATTGGCAAGTCAAATTTTTCATTTTCCGTACTGGCAACAAAATGTCCTACTGAAGGAACTTCTATTTCTGTTGACATGTATTTCTCATCTTCCTTGGATATTTATCACTTCGATTGGAAACATATGACAAGCAACAACTTTTGTCGCTAGCAACAAAAACATTAAGGAATATTAAAAATTTTCGGCAACAATTGGCAATTCTTTCAAGAAACATAAAACATCAACAAAAAGTTTCTCGCTGTTGCTTCAGTGGGAACATAGCTTTACCTCTCGACTTGAAGTATTTCCATTCTCTTGAATTCCATCACTCTGAGATTTTGGATCTAGAGTAATTTCTGCAGTACTAATCGCTGGCGTTACTTTTAAAAATTTTTCCAGTTCATCCATTTCATTTGCTAAATCAAAATCTTCATAATCCTGCAATATTTAACCGCTTTCATTATTTATAAAAAATGACGTGATACTTTTTCAATAGTTATTTTTTATTGCTTGTCGCGTAAATGACACAAAGAAAAGATAATTACGCCGCAATAATCATCCTCATTAAATATCTGTGGAGGCAATGGATACTTGTTACTTCTAGCATTACTGTTAGCTTGCATAAATTCTTTCTCCAATTCCTTGTCTGGCTCTGTTATATCGATGATCTCGTATTCTACATTTTTACTATCTAAAATCATCAATACACGTTGCTGTCTTTTCTTCACCTGTAACATGTTTACAAATACTTAAAATTTCTCAAACTCTCCCAATGTGATTAATATGTGCGACTACTTGAATGTTATAATCTGTTATTGATTCGTAGATAACAAATGTTTAAAAAAGTAGAAATTAAATATAAATTTTTATAACATTTGTAACATTTATGTTATGAAACCTAGTTTAATTTCTATTAAAGTTTTTCATACAGTCGTATACATCTGCTAGAAAAACCGATATGCAATAAAGTCTGCCAAATGCAATCATCTATTATTTTTATACGTTTTCACTCCAAATAATCAAATTTATAATATTCGTGTTGTAAAATATTAATGAGAATTTCCTATATTAATACTAACAATATTTTCAAAAGAAATATTTGCAGTATATTTAACAGACAAAGGAGATCGAAAGATACAAATACACAGAAATTCAAATTTGTCTTATCAGTAATGGAACTATCAAGTAATCAAGTTAAATTATACATGACAATTCGACAATCGTCGCTCTTGATAAAAATAAACAGAACCGGATGAGACCCGCGACAAACAGCTGGAAAACTAGCGTGACATCACCGTGCGTCCATTGTCAGAAAGAACGATTAACAAAACCGATAAAAAAACCGCGCAGTACGCGCGCGTCATATCGCGAATGACAGTCCGCGATTATTAAACGCCCAAGAGCTGTTAATGCGTGCCGTTCGCATTGTAACCTGATACAGCGACGACGACGACGACGATGACGGCGGTGGTACCGAGGATTACCCATCCGATGACAAAGTGCCGTGGACGAGTATCGCGCGACACCGGAGCTCATCGCTGAAAACCATTTACCATAGGCACTCACTTCCTTGTTGCCGCTGATACCCGATACGTAGATCTTGACGACCATCGCGCTGGCTGTGCGACCACCACCGGCTGTGCTCCCTAGACTCGACGACGCGCGTTCCCCTCGCTGCACTGCGCCGCGCTGTGCAGGCTGTGCTACGCCACGCTACGCTACGCTCCGATTAGGCGGCGCGCCGGACCCGGACCGGACGACGCGACGTGCGGGAAGCGGGAACGACCGCGGGGGGGCAACGGTGGATAGCCGAGCCGTCAGCCGACCGCCAACCCGTCGCTCGTCGTGGCGGGGGATTCCGCTATTAGCCGCTCGCACGCACTCGCACGTCGACACGCGTGACGCACCGATCCCAAGAGAAACAGAGCCGGACTGCTTGGCCAGGCCTACGTCATACCGGGCCAGTCCTCTTTCTCCCTTCTCAGGGATGGAACAAATGACTTCGCTACTTAGGATTACCCATCACGAAGAAAGAATACCTATAATATGTACGATGTATCTATACTTTTTTTTAAAAAATGATAATCCGGAGGTATAATTTTTTTATTCGTTACAAATAGGTATTTATAATGAAATAAAATTTCTGGAACATAATTTTTATTGATAATTATTCTTAATATAATTTTATAAATGTATAAAATTTTAATCGTATGATCTTAAAAAGAGTATTCGTACTCGTAAAATTAAGAGTGCAGCTGGTAATTTCAGCTAGGTATGTCTCTATGCCACGCGCTGCGTATAACGTTTACTTATAGAAAAAAAATATCGCGCGAGTCTGGAAAAATAATTTTTCGAAACTCCTCGAAACGCCGACTCTTCCCATTCGTCAGCCACCCTCGCGATTATGTAACGCGTTACGATGGCATTATATAATCGACACGTATTTTTGGAAATTTGTTAAAAAACATGATAGAGATGGTGACGTTTGTTGGATGCATCGGACATGGCATGAATCGTGAAGTGTTTGATTGTAGTAATCGAATTATGTAACTTAAATTATAGCGTTGTTAATCGATTCATTGTTGTAAAGAAATTTAAATATTAAGTTAAAGTATTTTTTTTTACTGTTGAATTTTTTTCGGCAAAGACCGCTGTTGAAATATAAATAAAGTTTTTGGAGAAATTGAAGTTCTACTTGTAATTGCTCGCAATGTAGTTCTACATACGTTAAAATCCGAGACACGAACATTCTTTAGTATTTAAAAATATGCGATTGCGATACATTTGTGTGTAGGTACGTTCCTGTGTTAGGTAACTAAATAGTAGTCGATAAGCTATGTTGGTCACCGATTTAATTGTGAGTAAAATTGAATTAGCGATGACTTTCCTTCTGTATTTCGTTCATATGCCCAAACATGCGTCTATAATCTCATTTGATCCTTTACTTCTAATATATCTCGAGTATATGCAATTAATCTGGCTTTTTTTAATATTTAATTAAAAAATTATTATACGTAATTTCTTAAAAAATATGTGTATTAAAAATATACACATTTTCTCTGTTGAAATTTTGTTAAATTATACAATATATTTCAAGTTTAGAAACTTATATTTTATTCTACTAAAAAATATCTTTCTATTACTACAGAATAATGTTTTATTATAATAATGATATATTTAATATTTTCTTACAGTATGTATCTATTGTAATATTTTTAATGACTGAAATACATGTACGTAATATTTTTTTCAGAAGAAAAATAATACATATATGTAATGCGCGATATAAAATAGCGTTCATAAATAATAGAAAGTTTGCCATTAATTTTAAACAAGCTTTCCCGCTATAATTTGAAATTCATACATACAGTCATACTTTCGTTGCTAACTTCCGAGTTCTGACGTTGCACGACGCTGTCACTGTGCTGTCTGTGGCGTTTGGGCTGTGCGAGGTTATTTCACTCCTTTCTTGATTCTTTCCGGTTCTTTACGAGACTGATCTCTACCTGTTAAAAATGGTAAGATATTTTATCGAGTTTTACGTATCAAATCTTACTAAAATCTACGTTATGTTGATCATCAAATAAGAATGATAGCTATCAAAATATTCTTTATATACATATTTCATTGTAAAGTGCTAATATTATATATCTGTGAGAGTTCTAACCTTATAACGAGGTTATGTTTTGAAAGCGTTTCTTTGATTATATATTTCTGATTTTTAATATTATCGAAGTTACCTGTAGTGCAGAGGCCCTAAAACTGCTTGAATTTTAACAGGCGAAACGCACGAAGAAGGTAGGAATCACCGGTAAATATGGCACCCGTTACGGTGCTTCCCTTAGGAAAATGGTCAAGAAAATGGAAATTACCCAACACAGCAAGTATACTTGCTCGTTTTGTGGCAAGGTAAGTAATTGTTGTACTATGAATTAGAAAGATAAATTCTTAAAATGTTTGGTATTTTTTAAATTAAGATTTTGATATAATAATTTCTTTTTATCATAGATATATTCTATTGTAAATCTTTTATAGGAACATTACTTCACAATTTAATGCAATTAATTCAGGAGACTGTCAACTATGTTAAACGACACTATTTTCATTTTCTAACAGGAGGCCATGAAACGCAGTGTCGTAGGAATCTGGTCCTGCAAACGATGCAAAAGGACAGTTGCTGGTGGTGCATGGGTATATTCTACGACAGCCGCTGCTTCAGTAAGGTCAGCTGTACGTAGATTACGTGAAGTCAAAGAACAGTAAATATATGTAATAAATAACTTTTTAACGATTTATACTTGTAATTTTATTTAATACAAACCAACCGTTTTAGTTGAGATATATTGAATGATCTGAGCAATCATGACATACCGTAAATGTGGGTGACTTGGGACAAGTGTAGGTTACGTGGGACAGCATGTATTTTTGTTAAATTTAATCATGGAATCCATCTATGAGTCTCTAAAGAAAGTTTTAAACTTAAACTTAACTTTCTTTAGAGACTCGTGTGGGTAGATTCCATGATTAAATTTAACAAAAATACATGCTCTGTCCCAAGTCACCTACACTTGTCCCAAGTCACCCACATTTACGGTATTTACTCTTATTAGCCTGGACCTACCAGTATCGAAAATCATATTCGTGAAAGGTCAAAAATTTAGTGCTTTATTTGCTATTTTTTTGCTAAAAAAAATTTTTCGCTCCAGCCGTTTAGCAGAAAATCGTATTTAAAATGGAGAGTTGCCATTAATAATAACGAAAAAAATATATAAACAAAAAATTTCGTACATTTGATTTCATTGTGACGCCACTTTATATATATTTTTTTATTAATGGTAAGCTGGACCTCCCCCCCCCGTCTATTTTAAATTCGATTTCCTGCTAAATGGTTGGAACAAAAAAAATTTTTTAAGCAAAAAATTAGCAGATAAAGAGAACTAAATTTTTGACCTATTGCGAATATAATTTTCGATGGTGATGGGTCCAAGTTAATGAGGATGACATATTTACAATTGATATTGATTTTATTAAAAATTTTAGATGTTTTTTTTATCGAACTCATTATCTATGTTTCAACATTACAATTATTTGACTTTAATCTTTTATTGTTAATAAAATGCAAATTATTAAGGCTATTAAAGAAGCTATTTTATAAATATTAAACAGTCATAAATATGAACATTTGCATTTATTAACCAGAAATTATATAAGTATTAAAATAATGATACCAACATTTCACATGTGTAACGAAACTATTTATTCTAACAAGATGTAATTGTATATGTTCATAGCTATTTTATAATATTCTATAGAATACTTATATTGTACAATTTTAACAACTATAAATAAATTATTTTTCAAAAGGTTTCATTTTTTAATTAAACTTGACTCTAAAAGAAGAAACAAAGTCAGGTTTAAATGTCATTAATGTGCATACATTCATTTTTACAAATTTTACTTATTATAGAAATGTTTAAAATTATTGTAGTATTGTAGAGACATGCGTAATACAAACTTAATAATGTATACAAATAATTTTATTGTCTTTAAAAGATCATGCTTATGCAGTTCAGGTTATTATAATAATCGAAACTGTTCTTTCATATTATCATAATCAATTGAACTGTGAAGCTAAAGACGTTATTATTTATTGAGCAAATGATTAAAACGAAAATCCTTCATTAGCAATTTTATTCATATTAATAATAGCATTCTCCACGAAATCAGCCTGTAAGGAATGACGTATTTGCAAAGAGGTACTATTGACTATCATTTTTCGATCGCGATCGAACACTTTATCATTTACCTATAAAGTGGATTGACACACTGCATATTTCAACATATAAGTCAATTTGTATTCTATACAAAAATAAATACCACAGTCTTAAGAAGACAAATGTATGTCAAGCTATTAATGTTGCACCACCACCATAACATTCTTTTGAATTACATAAGAATAATGAGTATATTCGTCATTCAATAGCAGATAGGGAAGATCTTAAAGCTGTGTCGGAAGTTATTTGCAAGAATGTAAACTTACGACGGTTTCTTGTTTTCAATAGCAAATTTGAGAATATATTAAATAAAATTATTTTTATAATTGTTTGAAGGATAAAAACATTATTTTGAAACTATGTTATTGAAGAGAAAGGTGCCAGGATAAAAAAATTAAAGATGATTTTGTTCATCTCTGTATAAACGGTCATAATTCTTCTCTGCAATTACTGTTACATTTTAGTTAAACTTGTTATTTAATTTGCAAGAGTGCACTTTAAATGCATCATACTCAAAAATTGTTTTGCTTGAAACAATTTTATGTATAATATTTTGTCGCATGTTAATTCGCAAATTAAATATATTCAGGAAGGTAGTTAACAAGCAACTCGCAAAAGTCCACAATAGTTGATTATGCCAGAAAAATCTGTCATCATTAAAATATGGAAGACACTCTGGTACGTTCGCATTGAAACTGCATTATGTCTCCGCAATAAAATTTAACGAGAATTAATAATTGTATACATCTAACTAAAACCTGATGAATTCTATATATCGCTATAAATTCTGATAAGTACATCCTTTGCACGAAATGATGCGTAACAGTTAAATTATTCGAACGAGATGCAACGAGGAACTATCAGAAACATGAATATAAAAAGATTCAGTGCTCTTCCCTAATTATTAAATGGATTGTACAATAATAATTTTTCTATATTATTATCGGTACCGTTACATCGACTTCACTGACATTCCAGCATTCATTCCGTCATTATTTCGCAATGCATTTTTAGCATATTCACATTTCATTTCGCTGCGTACTGATTTAACGGTCAGTCATTCGTTATTGCATTCATCCGAAATTATCAAATATGTCTCTCTCTCTCTTATTAACAATTATATTTATAACAGTGGTCTGATATGATTTCTTCTTTACTGCTTTTTAGCCAGGAAAGAAGAAAAAAGAGTTCACTTTGTTCGTCGTTTTGTATCACTTATGTTCACACGCGATCAGAGAAATTCATCTCTGTCACTATTGTGCATTGCAAGGCGTATCGTAAGGACCGTACCACAAAGAATGGCAGTAAATTCTCGATACTGCTTCATCAATGGTAAACAAATCCTGTAGAATCTAATTATTTAACTACGATTTCTGACGCGATTTCCGACGAGAATCGATTCCTCGCGCACTATCAATTTATTTGACGTACACATTAGGTGTAATATTGAACCATTTCTTCGCCACTGGTTATAATACTTCATTCTCTTTTCTCGTACACGCACTTGGGAAGATCCTATATGATCAGTCCATCGGCTACCATTCATTAAACATATTAACAAATATTGCGTTTAAGATTTAAAGATGATTCGTATTAGCTGGCTTGCCACTTGAATTTGCTACGCATTATCCATCGTTGGCCGATATTGTTGACATCGCACTGCGCCAAGACAGGTTGCGCCGGATCGCCTGAGTGGGGTTTTGATAAACAGTAACCCGTGTTTGTGTGTTTAATCATTTTGGTCTGGAAAGAATGATATATATTAAAAATCAATTGCATTTATCAAAACTATGTTTTATAAACAAAATATATTTAATAGGGCTCTTGAAAAACAAACAATAATAATAACATATTGATAAACAGGTAATGCGAGCATTAACACAACGCGGTACTTGGAGCGCAATACATATAATATATTCTCAATAATTTACATTACGTGTCTATACAAGATTCTTGGACGTTTCGGTTTACTTTAAACCATCATCTTTAATACCATAAATTATATAAATTATATATAATATAATTATGTATAATAAATAATTATATATAATATATAATGTTAAATTATTGAGAATGCATTATATGTATTGCGCTCCAAGTACCGCGCTGTGTTAATGCTCTCATTATCCATTTATCAATAATTTATGATTGTTGTATGTTTCATAATTTTATCTTTTTTTATCTATAGATATTTGTTTGCTTTAGATATTTAAATATATTTTTCTATATTTTTTTTTTCATCTTACCTCATCACTGTAAACCCATGCTTGATTACCACCCATGCCATGACATCGTACGATCTTTACTGGACCTTGTGGATTAGCTGCATCAAGGCACATATCATCAGACATTATCTGTTGCCGCTTAGTGTAAGCAAATACCTGGATAATACAGCTTTCATCAGAAATAGCGTACGCTCAAAATAGAAACAATATCTCTTGATCTCCATCACATGTGTATTACTTCATATTTAAAATAAACACAAACCTGATTACCGCCTAATCCGTGACAATAACTAATTCCGACGTTTTCCCCGGTTCTTCTGCCCATAGTATCCAAACAAGTTTGCGTTTCAATATTTTTCACATCACCGAGATAGTAATAATCTAGCGGCATCGGCGATTCTGGATATATATTCTCCAAGTACCATCTGAAGCTTTTACATTTCAGTCGTTCTCTAAGTTTTATCCGCTCAGAAACATCACCGACGTCGACGTTTCGCGCCCCTAAAAGAATTGATCTTCTGTAACGCTACATTTTACAAACGCCGAACTTATTCACACGTATTTTTTTTTTTTTTTTTACATATCGTGCTTGCATATAAATTGGTTGAAAAGAAGATTTGTCAGAGAATTTAGTGCTAAAAATAAAGAAATTTGCGACCATGGAATTATATTGTATGATACATTAAATGCTTGCTCCTAAAAAATAAGTGTGCAATTACGCAACGCATCTTTTTGGAAATCTGAAAGATGTAAAGAAGTTTATGAAGTAGCATTGATTTATATATACATATACGAATAATTTTCATACATCTGCAAATGTAGCGTGCAGAGATGTATTGTGCTTCATATTAAAATTGTTTTATGTTTGAGTATACATAATTTTATACATATGTTAATCAAGAAACTACTATGAGTACATGTATGCTTCTTATTGTTACTTTTATATCATTCTAATAGAATATCTCCCTTTAATAATAACCTTTTGATTATAATAGTATCATATAGAACCCTTAATGCCATGCGTGATTTATTTTTTATTCTCCAAGTATACTTCTACATATCCTATTTGCATTGCTGTTCTCGTTTATTGTACATCATACCCATCATTGTCTAATGGATTATTAAGTAACAATATCACTTGAGAGAACGTAATAGCAATGATGTTTTAAATAAATGTTAACGGGTATCTGATAGAGAGATAGGGAGCACCCGAAGCCGTAAACAATAAAAATGATTGATAAAGAGACATGCACAGACTTCTTCCACAACATGCTGCATCGCAAAGCAACCAATACATAGAAAGAGATGCATAGGGATAGGGATTCTCTTTTTCTTGTTTTTTTTTGTGCGAGATACGCCAGTGTTAGTGCTACCTGGATTAATGTTGTAATAGAAGTACTTCCATTGGTCCAACCAAACTTCTGCGAGCCGCGCATTGTTGTGGTTGACTATCTTGCTCGTACCGCCCGGGAAGGTATACGGGGTTGACTTACGGAATACATGCCCGACGTGCGAGCATGTCGCAATTTCCAATGTCCCACCACACATCCATATCTAACCAACTCAGTTCTGTTAGTGTGTTAGCAGTTACAAACGGTAATCACACGGTAAGAGACAAAAAGAAAAAGAATAACACATGAGAAATATGACAACGGTATTCTGCGGCTCATGGTGGATTTAGAAATTCTTCTCTTGCGGCACCTATAATGTAGTTTGATGAGAGAATTCCATTAAAAGCAAGCGCAATTTTCAATTGGTTAGTCGGCTGGATGGATGAGTGGTTAAGACTACACCAGCATTTTTATTGAGACATAGAAATAAAATATATCTGAAATGTTCATTCAATGTTCATGTTTATATGCCTCGGGATATTCCTTAATTCTTCATCGTACTAAAGTATCGTATACTTATTATTTGGCCGAAAAAAAAACAAACTAAAGTAAAGTATTTTGACAGCAGCAAGATTCTGAGAATAATTTCTGTAGTAAGAGATTTTAATTTTAGTTTAGATATTAGCAATATAATGTATACAACTACTAATGTGTATTATGTATGAAATATTAGTAAATACATAAATTATAATGTGCATAACACATACAAACGATTAACTTAACTAATTTATGGTATATCTTCGTGTATATATAACTAATGTGTTAAAAATCATTTTATGAGAATATATTAATACAAAACTGTTATTAATTATTAGTCAAATGGAAGAATAACTTGTTAACAAGAAAATAATGCATTCAAAAACAACTGCAATTCATATAGCTATGTGAATCATAATAATATTTATGAGAGGTAATATAAACGGCTTGTATCAGATACCCGTCAAATATATTATATAGAGTTTCGCTTGAATAATATTGAATAGAATATAATACTGTAAAATTTCAAAAAAATGTTTTATCAATTAACATCGTTGCTTTCGATATAAGCGCTATATGAGTACCAGCTACATGGAAATTTGAAATAATTAAACAATACGTCAAATTCTTTAACGAATTTTACAAATTTTTCAACAACTTTTTAAGTTATTATTTCAAATCGGATATATATGTGTTTATATATATTGAATAATTTTTAGAAACAAAAATTTGTAACAAATAACATGAATTTTGATAGTATATATGGGATATGTATAACTTAGGTGCACAATAATCATTTAGCGCAATTCAGTACAACACATTGGAGAGAAATTAATTAAACGATACACTGGATTATCTAACCTGGATTCATGGCATAGTAAAAATCTCTCCACTCATCCATCCAGACTTCGGCCACCCTAGCCGCATTGTGCAGGACTATCTTGCTGACACCACCAGGGAATGTATATGGACTCTTGTCCCGGAATACATGTCCCACATGTGAACACGGACTGATTTCTAATGTTCCGCCACATTGCCACACCTACAAGGCACTTATGACTTCACAAATAACAATGGAAGTTTATAGAATACCCTTTGAAGGACCCTTTAAAAACTCTTCGTCAAATATTCTAATTGTCACATACTGCACAATTATCTTTAATACGATAGAGGCGAGAGTTATTACTAATGGATATTAGAAATGATTCGTTTTTCGTAATGAACATTTCAATCTTCTTTCCTTCGTACTTATAAATAATCATTGTTATAATTTTTTAAATTATTAATCACATGATATTGAGACTGTTGGATATATAATCTCATACTGTATAAAATTTTTGTGGTTATTAATTAAATTAGCAGTTGTCTTCATCGTATCTTAAAGGATACTTACCCGAAAGCTCATTTCAAGATTTTCACCACCCCAGATGTCCATGCCTTCGTCGTACGCACCTAACTCGTAGAAATATTCTTTATCAATAGAAAACAATCCACCGGCCATAGTCGGTGTTCGTAGCGGTGCCGTTCTGTCGCTATTCCTCCTGTCCATTTCTCTCTGTGCAACTCTGTACCTTTTTGAGTGAAATTAACATAATATTAATATTTTGTTTAAAAAGATAAAAAATTAGATACCACAAATGCATAAAATGCACTAATAATTTGACAGACTGCCAACGCGTTTTGTTTCAGTTTCAGAAAAACTCGAAATTAATTATAAATACAGTTAATTTAATTAAACAATTAGCACAGTGTATATATACACATTTGTGGTGAATATTGCGGGAATCGTAAATTTGTAAACTCAACAGCTCGTAATTATACATGAAGGAGAGAAAGAGAGAGATTATTATTGATTATATTTCAAATCATTATATATAGAGATTAACTGAATTAGAACGAGAAGTATTGAATTTATGTAGATATGTAAAAATCGCTGAATTTATGAAACTATCATAATTTAACGGAGATATAAATTTATATCAAATATATATGTCAATATAAGATCGATAGATT